CTCAGGTCTCTGGAGGAGGGAGAGAGGGAGGGAGGGAGGGAGGGAGGGAGCTTGCACCCTGGTGCACTCTGATGTAGGACTGCTTGAGTCCTAATGGCGGAAGAGAAGCAGAGGGCTGCTTCCTTGTGCCCCTCTGAGAGGGGGGCGCGGGAGCCTCAGGAAGATGCCACGGCCTTGTTTCCAGGTGAGCCTCAGTGCTGACAAGTGTAGGTTACTTTTTTTCCGTCTGCACTCACCTTCCTTTGGGTTACTCTTAAAAATAACTGCCTCGAGCCAACTGGCTGGTGGGGAAGCTTCCTTTTGGCTTTTCTGCTCTGTGGTAGACTCAGGGCTAGTCTGTGAGGGAGTCTCTTTCCGTACAGAACGCGTGGCAGTAAAAGAGAAAGAGTCCCGAGGCCCTGGCTTGTAGCATGAACTTTCTCGTTTGTGTTAACATTGTCGGGGATCTCGGTGATGCTTGCCAACCCAAGTCTGGGAGGCCAAGCTCCTCCTTGCCCCACGAGCAGCCTCAAGGACCAGTGTGTCCTTGAAGCTCACTGCTTAGCTGGATTCTGAGCACAATGGGAATTTCTAAGTTGTGGCTGAATTTGTGAGCTGTAGTTTGCTGCTAGAGCTGGCTTGATCTCCAGCTATTCCCAGTTTTCAAATATTGCTCTTTCTGGGGCTTAAGATACAGATTTGTCTCGGGTATCATTTCCAGGCCCCGAACTGTGGCTTGGGTCTTCATTTGTCTCTGTATTAGTGTCCTAGGCTTGCTGCCAGTAAGTCTCTACAAAAGAAACAGCTCCAGACAGCTCCTGGTTCTGGAGACCAGAAGTCCAAAATCAAGCAAGGTACGGGAAGGGCCGGCGCCTTCTAGGATCTTTGAAGGAGAGTCCATGTCAGCTCTCCTTCCTAGCTCCTGGAGGCTGCCAACAGTCTTTTGGGTCCCTTTGTGCATGCCTCGCTTCAATATACCCCCCACTGCACACAGTTCTCTCCTCTCTCTGTATTTGTCTTTGTGCGCCTCTCTCATGGACACGTGCGAATGGATCTAGAGTCCAACCCGATCCAGATGTCTTCGCCATCTAGCTAGTTATAACTGTAATGGCCCAGTTTCCAAATAAAACCCTGGGGAACATGACTCTTTTGGGGGTTTGCCATTGAGACCTTTGTAGCCTTTCTACCTTCAGACTTTCCCATCTAGCCACTTGCCCCACAGATTCAGCTGTTTTTCCCAGATCTTACTTAGCAGGTACACTTGGCTCTTGCTCCCAAAGCCTTCCATGGCTCCCACTGCTGACAGAACAAAGTCCTATCTCTTTAGCTCAGTTTTAGGAGACCCACCATAGTCGGGTCCCAATGATGTTTTTGACTGTGTTGTCTTTATGCCTCTATACATACCCTCCCGGTATTGTGGAATTTGTCGACTGGACCCTGGACTCCCTACCCACACTCTGTCTGCTGCTTAGGTGCTTTCCTTGAATGCCTGTGTGCTGTCTTTCTCAGGACAACATTTGTAAACTGCTCTGAATGTAGACTGACTGTTGACATAACCTGCCCCATCCCTCATTTGCTGTGGTGCTCCAAACAGGGTCTACATTTTACTCGAAGCCTCTTTATTATACTTTCTTAGGTCCTTGGATTTGGCCACAGTGTCTTGAATTATATGGGATTGGAAGCCAAGAGAAACTGGGTATAGGAGGAAAAGTATCTGTGGGGGGGAACCACTGCCCATCCCCATATGATTCTTAGCAACACTGGTAGCCAGAGTTAGGACCAAGGGGGTAAAAGAAGAGACGTAATAAACTGAAGGACATCAACACCTTTCAATATCAGCTCCGATAGATGCCCTGAAAACTTGAAAATACCGGAGGTTTTTGATAGGAATTCCAACCACGCCCCATGGTCGCACATGCCCAGCGCGACACTTAGATGACTCCACCTAGTGACCCAGGCCCCATGGTTACTCGGTCACTTAGTAGCGTGGGCCTGTGTGCGCAGATGGCCTTTATAAGGCGGCACCATGTTCCCCCGGTCTCTTTCTCGCACGTGTCTTTCCACAGGCCTGATCACATCTATCCCTTTCTCTTTGTCTTGATAAATCTCTTGTTAGTGGATTCTGTCGTGTGTCGTGACATTTCCTTTAGGGCAAGAGTGCCGTTAAAAAAAACCAACAGTTTTTCCTTGCAGTGTTGGGATCAAGCCCAGGGCCCTGGTACATGCTGAGCGAGTGCGGCACCGCTACGCTGCAACCCCTGCCCAACAAGATGTTTCTGCTCTTAGGATTGCTCTTAGTGTCTTTTGCTAGCTCTCAGTGAATGCAATGGCTTTGAAATCTTTGGCGCCACTGGAGCCCTTCCTTGCCAGGTCTTTGCAATGGTTTTGTGAATTGGATGTAGAAACCCGGGCTAAGGCAAACACCCAGGTAAAACTGCTTGCCTCCCCAAATAGTTTATGAATAGCTTACATGATGGTTTTGTCTCATCAGCTTGAAAGAACTTTGCATGCCTGTCTGCTTTTACCTTGCTAGGTTAGGGCAGAAACAGGCGACCCCCGAACTCCATTATTGTTTTGGACATTGTATCTAAAACTGGCAACAGTTGCCTGCTGGTCTCTTGCCCTTTGGGCATTTCAACAGTCAGTGCTCTACATAAGAAGAGGTATGTTAGGTGAATTTTCCTTTCAGTAAGTCTTCCCTGCCATATATTTGTCTCCAGGTCCTGTGGCAATCTCGTTCAACTTCAACAATAAAAACAAAGGGAACAGCTTGAGTCCAAGTTTGTCCTAGCCATCTGCATAAAGAATATACAAGCCTTTGAAATGTTTTGAGACTCCAGAAGGAGAGGAAGGCACACACCCTTGGTGATTCCGTCCTTAAGCACTGCTCTCCGCTCCCCCAGCTTCCTATCACCAGGACCTTCCTTCTTTAACAAAAGTACAAAGAACACGCAACACAAAGTCAAAGATGTAAAAAGTAGAAGTAAAGTCTTTCCATGACTCCATGTTCTTGCTGTGACTCAGAATTGCTCATTAGGGCAAAACCCCTCACACCTCGTGAGTTAACAGCCAGCCTGTTGTAGCCTGTTGTCATTGCTCTGAAGGTCCAAGATTGAAGTGGGTGTCACTAACACATGCAGGCTGGATCACCCCAATTCTAGCCCCACTTCTGAAACAAGGATTCTGGTATTTCTGTGTTTCCTTTTCTAACTAGACAGTGAATCCCCGATGGAAAGGATGAGGCTTTCTATCTCTGGATAGCCACTCGGCGGCTGGGATGTAAGAACACTGGAAAAATAGTTTTGTTTGGAATGGCAGGACTTTCCAAACAGCCAGCTCCCTGCGAAAAGGACACTAGGTGTTGCTGACTCTGCAGGTGGGGGTTGGGGGGGGGGAGGGCAGAGGGCAGAGACACAGAATCAACGGCACAGATTCTGGGAGTTATGTAAGCAATCTCTCATTTATTAAACGAAGGGCTCAGGTATTTATGTGTGTGCTGTATGGCAGGCAGGCTTTGCTTCCAGCTGCCCTGGCGTTGCTTGGTTTGACCCCGGGTCTTACATTGGCAGTTGTCATCTTGGGGGTCCGGTTTTAGGATCCTCTGGGTCAGGATGCTACTGTGCATGTCAGAGCTCTTTGTTTGCTTAAGGCGTGGCCCAGTGCTTTCCGCCCTACCCACCTCAACCAGGCACCCATTTTTCTTGAACACATACAAATATTTGGAATCAGGATTCTGACTCCACAGTGGGGTTAGTAGCAAGGGCTCCATGTCTCAGAGTCAGAGGAGATGGAGCTATGGGTGAGAAGCATTAATGCTGATGGGAGCTTGTAGAATGGATGGAGGGATGGTATGTGATTTTCCCTAGGGATATGTGAGTACATATCTATTCACCACTGATAAAGCAACAAAACTAAAACGATCCTACCCAGGTCTAGCTTGGTGAACCAGTCAGTTTATTGGGGTTACTTAGAGAAGTTACTCAAAGGCAGCTGCCTCACCAGAAAGCCCACCCCAGCGTGGATACCAAGCTATGAAAGCTACCTGCTTGACTTGCAGGTACCTCTGATGGAGGAAAGTCTTCATTCCGTAGGACCTATACTGCTCTTAAAATCTTGGGGGAGGGCCCATGGATTTTTATAATTTGTGAATTTCCCAAGCCTTACACATTTCATGAATTTCCTGAGCCATGTGAGTGTCATTACCTTCCTGGGGTTATGAGCCTCTGCCTCTCCTTCTAGGAGGGAATTCTTTGAAGGAGGTGAAACAGTTCCTCAAGGAAGATGGTGAACTTGTTTCTCATGTCCTCCAGAACAAATGACCAGAAAGTAAATGAACTGAAACGGTAGGAATTTACTATCGTCCGGTTCTGGAGGTCAGGGGCATGGGATGCATCTTCCTGGGATGACATCCAGATGTGAGCCGTGCTGTGTTCCTTCAGGGGGCTCCGAGGGAGAAGCCTGCTTGCTGTCTTGCTTTTTAGAGGCCACCTGCATCCTTTGGATACTAGCTCCTCTTCAAAGCCAGCACCTCAGATTTGTCTTTGATTTCTGACATAGCCCTGGTAGTCTCTTCTCCTGTCTGAGGGCTCTGATAATGATGATGGGCTGAACCTGGTCCATCCAAATAATCTCCTCTTCTCAAGGTTAACAGAAAGGCAGCTGGAATTCTACCCACAACTCCAGTTCTCCCTTGATGCATAACATACTCACAGGCTCTGAGAGAAGGGACATGTGTAATTTTTGGTGGGAAGCGTTCTTTTACCACGAGGGAGGCTCCCAATGGTCATTGTAGTGTCGGCACCCTTGTTCGGGATCAATACTTGAGGAAACTTGACCTCAGACAGTTTATGTGAATTCCAACTGTTGGCTCCACGGGAGAAAAACTTCCCCTGAGCCCTGGGCTGCTGGTCACTGGAGCAGCAAGTCAAATTCTGTTGGAGGCTTGGGGCCTTTCCCTCCGGTTCCCTTTGCTTTGCCTGGCCCCCCTTTTTTAATTTTCTTTCTTGAGGGATGATGCCCCTCCATGGACTCAGAATGGACTTGATCCAGTCACAAGAAAGGCTCATTGCTTGAACAAGAGCATGGACTTTTAGAATTGTACCTTCTAAGTGCCCACTTGGGGATGTTGAGCTTTAGTGATCAAGGACTCCAAAAGTCTGAAATCCTGGAAGTTCCCCTTAGGAACTCTACGAAGAAGGCCTAAAGAGTGAGCACCCACACCAGCCTTTTCTGCCTTAGTGGCTGCTGTAGATTTCACCCTATGGTTACCCCGTCGAATGAGGCTGGCATCTAGAATTCAAGAGGACTTTAGCCACTGGGTATTCACAGCGATGGAGCTGGTGACGCTGACATACAGTTCAACTCTTAAGGCAGAAGGTGGGCAATAAAAGAAATTTTCAGTCAAGGTCAATGCTGTAGGCGAAGACACGAGAGAGACTTAGTGCATGATGTTTTCTCTTGGAAAGAGCAAACCATGATCTGGGGGAGCAGATTCCCAGAGGTGATGTCTGGATCTCATTTAGAAAGTTATCAGCCCCCCCCCCCCCCCCCCCCCGCAAGTCGGCCGATTCTGTCAGCCGTAGGGTACTAGCAGTTTACCTAACTAGCCTAGCAGTTCACCCTACCCTCTGCGCCTAAAGATAGAAGCTGGCCAAGGACAGGATCTAAGGCTTTTTTACTAGAGAAGTAAATTCTTGAGAACTCCGAGATGAATCCAGTCTGTGAAGAAAGACAAGGCCCTGTGGAGAGACCTTGGGGGCCACTGAGAAAGGCAGCCCTGATTCCTGGAGGAGCATCAGGAAGAGACCACGGTACATTGTTGAGTTATGGAAAAGTCACTTTGGCATAGTACCACAGTTTCCTCTCATCCCTAGCAACCAACAGGGGAAAAACCCCGTCCTCAAAGACGAGCAAAAGTGAAGCAAGACACCTGTATCCAGGTGAGAAGCAAGGTCCCGCCGGCTGAGGTCTGGGAAACTGGGGGGTCACCAGGCCTGGGCTCTTTTTGTATTGAATAGGACGAGTCCTTCATACCGTGTTCTCTGAAACAGATGGGGCTTCCCACTGGGAAGGGTGGGGGAGGTGCGCTGCGGCAGGGTGTGCATTGGTAGACTTTGACAGGAGATGCTGAAGGAATAGGAGTTTACCCAGAGCTCTAGTGCATGTGGGGTGTGGGAGTGGAGAGGATGATGGTGGTGGTGGGCAGAGAGGTCTCATTGGAAAGAGACAGAAAATGTGGCCACCCAGTTCCCGAGGAGACCCACTATCCATTGATGAAGAATAAGATTTAGGTTATTCTTCCAATTAGGCTGGCTACCAGTCTAAGGGGCATCGCTTTTAGAAATGACTCCTAGGTGGGTAGCAATGACTGATAGTGGTCCTACCCCTAAAAGGGGAGCCAAACCCCTGCTGGCCCTGTGTAGGAGAGAGACCTAATGTGTCTTTTTTTTTTTTTGAACCCACAGCTGTAGCTAGAAGGCAGGTCCTGTGAGGAAGCGTCAGTTCTAAGGCACACCAGTAGCTTCCCGGGGGGTTCCTGCTTCTCTCTTCCATAGCTGTTTCCAAGGAGGCTTCCCCAGGTGAGTGCCTCACACGTCCTGCAAAGTGAAGTCAGGAAGTGAGGGAAGGCTGCCAACTGCCAACTGCTATGCACTATGACAGGGAGTGACCCTGCAAGCCACCTGGGTTCCAGTGTCCTCTGTATCACTCTCAGCGACTGGATGTAACTGTCAGATACATTCCTGGGTGCTGGGTTCTCCTGCCAGGAGGTCCTGGGCGGAGAAAGCTGAATGTCACTTTCTTTTAGGAATCTGACTAAGCTAGAGAGGGCAAAATGACCTATAAAGGCTCTTTCTTCTCCCCTTGTGGCCTCACACAGCTTCTAAGATGTGCAGACTGGATGATCAAGAAAACTTGGCAATGATGGAGACAGAGCAAGAGGTAAGTGGTAAGGTGTTTTTTTTTTGAGGGGGGGAGTGGGGTAGGGTGGGGGCAGTGGTCAGCTTCTAAACTCCTTGTCATGGTGGATAAGAATGGAAGTGTTCTGGGAAACCCATAGGAGAAGCTGCGATGTCAGAGGAACAGGATGGAGAACTTCCCTTAGGCCTGAGATGCCCATTCGCACTGGACGCAGTCTGTGTGTCTGAGAGAGACCTTGATGACAATGTGTGTGATTGTCAGAGAATGAAGACTGGGTCTTGTAGCTAGAGTTTTCCTGCCTGGCCCACAGTCAGGACAAATCTCTGTCACCTGCCAGTCCCATAGCCGCTCAGACCCAACCAAGCAAACACAGAGACATATTGTTTAAACTGTTTGGCCTAATGGCTCAGGCTTCTAGCTATCTAGTTCTTACATCTTAAATTAATCCATTTCTATAAATCTATACCTTGCCATGTGGCTCGTGGCTTACCGGCATCTTCACATGCTGGTTGTCATGGTGGCGGCTGGCAGTGTCTCCTTCACTCAGCCTTCCACTTCCCAGAATTCTCCTCTCCTTGTCCTGCCTACTTCCTGCCTAGTCACTGGCCAATCAGAGTTTTATTTATACAGAACGATATCCACAGCAGGGTCTTTAAGGCTCAGGCCATCTCTGTTGCTCTCCACCTTATTTGAGACAGGTTCTCTTGTTGAACCTAGAGACTTCCTGGCCAGTGACCCTCTGGGATCTTCCTCCTTCCACCTCCCAGGGCTGACATTATAGGCACATGCCACCAACTCTGGCTTTTTTTTTTTTTTTTTTTTTTTAAAACATGGGTGCCGCAGATCTGAACTCAGGTTCTCAGCCTTGGACAGCAAACACTTTACCTCCTGAACAGCCTCTCTAGTCCAAAGATTTGAAAGACCTGCAGACTTTAGCAGGGAGAGTCTAGAAAATACATGGTTAGAGCCAGGCATTTCTGCAGGTGGGAGAGTCTTAGCTGAAAAATACCAGTGCGCATCACTGCCCATTATCAGGTTACTTTGAGTTACTGGACACCAAGGACGTAGGAAAAATTGAATCCATCTTAGTCAGCTCAAGCTGATGTTATGGATACTGTGGACTGAGCCACTTATAATGAGACATTTATTATAGTTCTGGAGGGCGAGTCTGAGATCACGTACCAGCATGATCTTTTATAGGGACACCAATCCCATGCACATGGGCTCCATCCACATGGCCTAATTACCTCTCAAAGGCCCTGCCTCTGAAAGCCATTACACTGGGGATAAAGTTGGAACACATGGATTTTGGGGAAACATATTTAGTCCATATCACCATTTCTAGAATTTCTGTTTGACACCACTAAGTAGGTTCTGTTTTTTTTTTTTTTAAAGTTTTTATGTGTGTAAGTGTTTTGCTTTCATGAATGTGTGCCGCATGTGTGCCTGGTGTCATCAGAGCTCAGAAGAGAGGATTGGATCCCCTGAAATTGGAGTTACAGATGGCTATGAGCCACTATGTGGGCACTGGGAATTGAACCTGGGTCCTCTGCAAATATGGCAAGTGCTCTTAGCTGCGGAGCCACCTCTCCAGCCCACATTTCTGTTTTTTGTTAGTTTGTTTTGTTTTCCTAGACAGGGTTTCTCTGTGTAGCCCTGCCTGTCCTGGAACTTCCTCTGTAGACCAGGCTGTCCTGGAACTCAAGAGATCTGTGCCTCTGCCTCCCGAGTGCTGGGATTAAAGGTGTGCGCCACCACCACCACCACCACCCAGCTGTTGTTTTGTGTTCCTGTGTATGAGCAGACGCCTTTCTGAGTGTATGGCACACATGTGCTGGTACCTGTGGGTGCCAGAAGAGGGAGGTGGATTGATTCCTTGAAGCTGGCTTTACAGGCAGCTGTGAGCCGCCTGATGTGGGTACTGGGAACTGAACTAGGGTCCTCTCGAAGCAGGAAGTCCTCTTGACTAACCGCTGAGCCCCATGGGTCCCTGGAGCCCCATGTTTCTGTGTTTTTTTTTGTTTGTTTGTTTTTCTTTTTTGTTCATTTTTTATTTTAAAAGTTTAAGATTATAATTACATTTCTTCCTTCCCTTTACTCCCTCTGAACTCTTCCACACTCTCCTCTCCACTCTTCTTCCACGGCCTCTCCTTTCATCGTTATTGCACGTGTGTGTGTGTGTGTGTGTGTGTGTGTGTGTGTGTGTGTGTGTGTGTATACACATATATTCCTAAATACCACCTGCTCAGTCCATAGAATATCATTTGCATGCGTGTTTTTAGTTTTTTTAAATTTTTATTTATTTATTTAGGTTTTTCGAGACAGGGTTTCTCTGTGTAGCTTTGAGCCTATCTTGGATCTCGCTTTGTAGAGCAGGCTGGCCTTGAACTCACAAAGATCTGCCTGCCTCTGCCTCCCGAGTGCTGGGATTAAACGCGCCTCGCTAGTTTTTATTTCTAAACAGTGAAGTTTTTTTTTTAATTTATTCATTATTTATACAGTGTTCTGCTTGCATGTTTGCCTGCATGACAGAAGAGGGCGCCAGATCTCATTACAGATGGTTGTGAGCCACCATGTGGTTGCTGGGACTTGAACTCAGGACCTCTGGAAGAGCAGCCCGTGCTCTTAACCTCCGAGCCATCTTTCAGTCCCCTAGTGTAGAAGTTTGATGACAGTCAAGTGACTATTTGAAAATGTGATATTATAAGAGGATTTAAAAATGACCTAATGTGTCTACTTGACCATTCACCTAGATAGTTCTCAATATGTGGGTCACCATACCTTTGGGGTAGAATGACCAGGGGTCACCTGAGATCATCAGGAAATACATACTTCTGATGGTTTTAGGAACTGAGACACTGCTCCTCTATCCATTTCCAGGAGGATCCACCCATATGCAGGTAGTCCTATATACGAGGACTCAGTGTGATCATATATATATATATCATCGTGGCAACCCTATCACATACACCCCGAACAAATACAGGTGTATATGAAAGGGGTTGGTGCCATAACACACATGTGTAGAGAGCAGCTATTGTGTTGAAAATAGTAGTAATGGAGGTAAAAATGATACTTCAAGAATTATAATTACTGGGTAAATGTAAAATGATGTACTGTAAAATCATCAGTGACTGCAAAAAAAATTATCTGCACCATGGGAACTTAATCTAGATGATGATCGGTCTTTTTATAGTCAACTGTGTTGATGTGAATACTTGTGATAGTAACAAGTATGTAAAAAAAACCCCACAAAACAGAATGGTAAATCATAGGAAACTTCAATGAACTGGATTGACTGAACTACAAACATATATATGAACACATGCACATACATATAAGCTGTGTATCATCTTTTGTATTATTAAAGCTCCTGTTATATATTTTCATCAAAGAAACCATTACATGACAATGGATAGTGTAAAGAAGAATGTTAAAAAAGGAAAACATAGTGAGGAGTTTTGTTACAGTATGGTTTTACCTTAACAAGTATGGCAGATATTGAGAAACCGCAATGTGTTAATTGTTGTGAAGTTCCATCAGCCAAATCCATGAAGCCAAACAGCATCCAGATAGCAAGCACCCGAGCTTTGCCAGCAAGAATACCAGCTATGTTAGAAGCAAAGCTGATGGACTGAAAAGAGAGCCAGCCTTATCACTGGTGGCAACTACCCCAAACAAGATGTAGCAGCCATCGAAGCTTTGCATTTGATGGCACTCAGAATCACCAGAGCCATGAAACCTCACACCATTGCTGAGGATTTACTGTTGCCAGTGACCAAAGACAGTATTTGAGTTAGGATCAAATCTGTTATGCAGTTGAGTGCAATTTTCCTTATCTAACGACACTGTCTGCTGAAGAATAGAAGACTGCTGATCACTGTCTGCTGATATTCTTGATCAGGTAATCCAGGGAATTAAATCTGCTCCACTCCCAATATTTAGTATCCAGCTTGATGAATCTACAGACACGCAAACTGTTGAGTTACTGGTTCCTTGAGGTGTATTAATGATGGCAGCTTGAAAGATGAGTTTCTTTTTTGGAAACCTCTGGAAACAACTACCACAAGGGATGTATTTGGCACAGTCGGTTCATTTTTGAAAGAGCGGAAGATCTCTTGGTTTGTGGTGTTTGCACAGATGGTGCTCCAGCTCTGCTAGGATGTTGGTCAGGATTTCAAGGCTTGCGACTGAATCACCAAAGTCATTGGAGCTCACTGAATGATTCACCGGTTAAACAGTAGCAATGAAGAAGCTGCCTCCCTCAAGAGTTACAAGAAGTAGCGAAGAGCATAAGTTCTGTGGAGTCTGTAAAGGCGGGGAGCACTTGAAACAGTTGGCTGTTATGCAGCTGTGCCGGGAGTCCAAACAGGCTCTGCGATTTCACGTGATTTCACGTGACTGAAGTGAGATGGCTGTCCCGAGGAAAAGCTTTAACACGTGTTTTTGCGCTTCGTGATGAATTCAAAACATTTTCAATCAGAAAGTGTGGTGGTTTGAAAGAAAATGGCCCCCAAAGGGAGGGGCACTATTAGGAGGTGTGGCCTTGTAGGAGGAAGTGCGTCACTGGGGGCGGGCTTTGAGGTCTTGTTTTCTTCTCAAGCTTCACTCTGTGTAAACCAGTCGACTTCCAGTAGCCTGAAAGATGTAGGACTCTCGTAGCCAGCGTCACATCTGCCTGCATGCCACCAAGCTCCCCATCGTGATGGTGATGGACTGAACCTCTGAAACTGTGAGCCACCCCAATATTTTCTTAAGAGTTTCTGTGCTTGTGGTGTCTCTACACAGCAATAGAAACCCAAACTTAGAAAGTAAGACTGCAGTTCAGAGCACTTTTCAATGGTAAAAGTGAATTATAGAAAATAGCTTATTTGATGGCTATCTTGAATGAAACTTAACACTTCAAAGACCAAATACAAAAGCCTCAATTTATCTGAAAAGATCTAATCATTCCAAATGAAACTTCAGCTTTGGTGTGGGTGTGGGGAAGGATGAAAATAAAATTTACACGTTGCCTACCTGATCTGCTTTCTTTGAGGAGCATGGCATTGAACCAGACAAAAGCATTACAATGATAGTTCCTGTGAAAGAACACTTGCGCAGGCTTGCAAACGAAATTTCATCTTATTTTCCAAATCTACCTGACACCCCATTTGGACTTGCCATTCACAGTCAAAGTTGAAGATGTTCCTGAGACAGCCCACGAGGAGGTCATTAGACTTATTAACAGAGATGCATTGAGAATTGATTTCTCTACAAGGCCAGTTACAAAATTCTGAATCAAGTGTTTGCAGTCATATCCTATTCTGTCTGAGACTGTGTTGAGCTATCATCTTCATTTCCAGCAACTTATCTTTGTGAAAAGGATTTCCAGCTTGTTAGTTATCAAGTCTAAATACAGATGTAGACTTGTTGTGGAAGACAATCTTTGTTATGTTCTTGCAAAGACTGCCCCGGGAATTTCTGATCTGGTGAGAAAGCAATCTCAACCTTCCAACTGACGTTGGCTTTTTACTCACACTCTCACAAAAGATAGCAATGTAGTTTATTGTTAAGACTGTTACCCATGCTACACCATGCTTCATGCAAAATTTCATTTATTTGTAGTTAGAAATAAATATTTCACCATATTATAATTATATATTGTTTTGTAATTAATCATTATTCTTTAGCTGTGTTCAATTTGTAACAATGAAAATACATCCTACATATCAGGTATTTACATTATGGTTCATAACAGTAGCAAAAGTACAGTTTTGAAGTAGCAATGAAAATGATTTTACGGTTGGGGGCGGGTCACCACAACATGAGGAACTGTACTAAAGGCTCACAGCATTAGGAAGGTTGAGAACCACTGTCCTAGATGAATTTCAAAGTGACTTGTGAAGGTCAGCCATGTGATCATCAGTATTAACTAGTACTGCATTAAACCTATGGATTGGCTTTTAAAAGTGAGTTTGGAGCCTAGTTTTTTGAGTGATGTGTCCGAAGGGTGGTGGTGCTCTATACAGAGTGTGGGGGCCCACTGCTGGGGTTGAGAATTTTATGTTTTAGTGTGAACTCAGGTCCTTTGGCCTCAGTTTCCTCATCTGTAAACAATTTTTATTTGTAAACAAAGGTATTATAAACAACATTTTAATGTGTTGTGATGAAGATTGAGTTAATAGATAAAACATGTAGAACAGTACCTGGCATGCACTGAGTACTCATTTATGCGGCATGATTCTGTCTTATTTTTCTGTTCTTTAAAGTATGGCATCTTCAGCAGAGGGTCTTACCATCAGATTCCAGGGAGGGGGGTCACCAAGAGCAATGGAAGTTGTCTGTAATATTTTTTAGAGGGAGATTTTTATGGGGCTCCACTGACCAACACCTGGAAAAGAGGTACCCCATATCTGGTATTGGACTTTTTATTGGCTAGCCTATGGTGTTTGGGAGAGGTATTGACGCCCCCACACTTATAGTATAACCTCATGTCATAAACACACACATACATACATATATATGTGTGTGTGTGTGTGTGTGTGTGTGTGTGTGTGTGTGTGTGTCAGAAGGGTGGTGCTCTACACAGAGTGTGGGGGCCCTGCCAGAGAAGGGGATACCACCTGCCTTTTGTCCCCTTCTCACTGGAAGCCCCCCCTCTCCCATGGCTCCTACTTTTCTTCAAAATGTAGTTTATTGAATACAGACTTTAATTCTATTTGTTTCTGTCCTTACAGCGCAGCCAGGAACAGGATCGTGCATGTTGAGGATGGATGATTATGGGAAGATGTTAGAAGACAGCACAAAGGGATGGGACCTTCTGGGGTCACTGACCTGTACCTTGTACTTGTCCCTGGACTCCCCGCTTTCCCATGGGATAGGCTCAGCAAATGCCTGGTTTGTCAGTATATTTGTCAAATTATTTGTGGTTATTTCTAGGTCCACAGCCTGTGAAACGTGATTGGAAAGGACCCACAGTAGGGAGTTCACAGTGTCTTTCCCACTGGTACTCTGTTTTTTTCTCGAGCTGGGAAAGTGACATTAAAAGAATAATAAGGCATAATAAGAAATGAGAACAAAGTGTCCTGAGGCATATGTATGAAAATGCCACAATGAAACCCGCTACTTTGTGTTTTAACCCCCAATTGAAGAAAAATGTAGTAATGAAATAAATCAAGCTGAAATGAATTCTTCTCTGCTTTCAAAGTCCTCTTTGCATCCTCTACTTTCCTGTCACCCCTGCAGAGTGCCGGCAGAGGAGTGAAGGCAGGCATCTATTTCAGCCTGTGGGCTTGGCCCTTCCTAGCCAGCCGTGGGGTGAGTTTCAGCCCAAACACCTTAATGCACGCTAAAGTGGGAACAAGAAAGATTGAAGCTATCTCAGTGGTTATTTTCTCCAATCAGGGAGATAACACTTGTAAAAATGTTTTGAAAGGAAAGTGTGAAAAGTAACAATTGACCTCCATGATAAATAGAACTATAAATGCCAAAGATTCTAAATGGTACAATCTCCACAGATAAGACATTGCTTAGAACAAAGCTTGGTTGCATTTACACATCTGTAAGGTTTTACTGGGCCAATACTGCTCTTCTTCAGGGGTTGCTATAACAAAAGGCTTTTAATTTGTTTAAAGAATTTTTTTTTTTTCCCTGAGACAAGGGCATGATTCAAGCTGGCCTTGAACCCACTGCATAGCCCAAGATAGCATCAAACTCTTGACCCACTTGCTTTGGTTTCCCAAGTGGCAGGATTACGGAGCTGCCCTACCACTCCCAGCTGGTGCTCTCAGTGTTGCTATCGGTAGCAATGCACTGTAACTCATTCTGTGATAGAGAAAGATAGGGAAGTGAGGGATCCTCCAGTCCCACCTCATAACAGGTCTTGGCCTGTTAGAAACTCCATTCTTTGCTCCCAACAACTCTAGGCTGATCCTCTGGGTACGAAGAAGGTTCAGCTCCGGAGCCTTTGATGACTAAAGGGCAGGATGACCCTAGAGCCCTAGTCAGACCCTCTCTACGAGTCCAGTCTGTCACAGGGTCTCTCCCCAAGGCCACCGCACTGGAAGAAGGGCTGGCAGTGTCCCAGATGGAGATGGGCTGACAACTGGGATGGCAGAGTTTCCAGCAGCTGCTGTCCCCAGACACTGGGTTGCTATGGGCACAGGCCAAAGGAGGAAGAGGAAGTATACAGGGGCTGTGCTTTGCACACCTTGTGCTCCCCTGAGCAAGGGGCCGATGGTGATAGAGAGGATGTAGACAAGGAAAGCCTGGTTTATTCTAGAGAAGACTGAGAGGACTAAGTGAAAAGTAGTCGACAGGACACTGGGACCTGGGGGATAACAATGGCTATTTGGTCCTGAGTGCTTATCTGTGTGAGGCTGGTTAGGTCCTCCAGTTGGGCATGGATTTCTCTCAAGTCTTCTGGTGTAATTTTTATTAGGAAAGGGTGCTGACATTTTGGTTATTTTTTCTTTATCATTTGATAGGATTCACATATTAGTGTATACAAGTTGCTTTATAAAGCTCAGTTTCAACAATGGACATAGTAAATCCAAGACATTTCAGGCCAATCCAGGTTCTGTCTGTATGCTTGGAATGTGACACTTTTTCCACTGGCGTCATGTCTCTGTTTTCCAGGGATTTACATGTAAGATCTAGGGGTCTTAACAGACATCAAGATGTATAGATCATATACATCTTAAGGGCTGTCAATGCTCCCCAAAAGAACCACAGACTAACAGAAACCCCAGTACCAGGCGTGGGAAACCTTTCTTATAATCGTTCAGGGGGTCCAAGTGATTCCCAAAACAATACAGACCATTGGTGCAGCTCTTGCTTGCCTCTCAGAGGTTGAAGGTAAGCCTCTATTGCTGAAAACAACATCACACACTTAGAACGCAGGATTCGGATGATCTGAGCTGGACCTAACCTTGGAGCCTCCATCTAGCTTCCATGGCACAAGAAAATATTGCATAAGCTGTCAAAGGAGAGAAGCAATGGACAGACCACTATGGTAGTTTGAATGTAATTGGTCCCCATAATCCCATAATCCTATAATCTCATAGGGAGTGGCATTATTAAGAGGTGTGGCTTTGTTGGAGCGGGTGTGGTCCTGTCAGAGGAAGCATGTCACTGTGGAGGAGGGCTTTGAGGTTTTCTATGCTTGGAATACTGTCCAGTGAGTCAGTTGACATCCTGTTGCCTGCATGACATACCTGCACATCGCCATGCTCCCCATCATGATGATAATGAGTGAACCTCTGAAACTGTAAGCAAGCCACCCCAGTCAAATGTTTTGCTTTTTAAGAGTTGCCATGGTCGTGGTATCTTCTCACAGCAATAGTAACTCTAATTAAGACAACCATCCAGCTGTGACACCTATGCACCACATAATGACCATTATGGCAAGATATCCATAAAGGTGCAAAAAGTGGCACTTGCATGTTGGTGGTGACCAACAGCTAACTGGACTTAAGGCCCACTCAACAAGAGGGAAATCATGCCAGTACTAGAAGCCTAGCTAGCTTCCAGAGCTAGTGAGTCATGAACATTAGAATCAACTATCTATCACCACTTTGCTAGGCCAGCATAATTCCTTACTACCTCCTAAATCTTATCCACATACTCACAGATGAAATAGCAACCACCCTGCCCTCCATCAAGGAAGCCTCTATTTACAACGAATGGAAACCATCACAGAAAACCACAACTGGACACAATGCAGAGATCAACACATTGTGGGGGAGCCCAGCCCTAGTGGATACGTGTACATTACAGCTCTGCATCTATGGCTCAGGGAATATTTGGGAAGAGGAGACAGGAAGCTTGTAAAAGGCAGAATACCAGGAATTCTGCTATAAAATGGTTCTAGAAATTGCTACACAAACAAGACCAGAACAATGGTAGGGTTATATCAAGAGACATGCTAATGTGGAAGAAAGAAAATTTCATGGGGTCCCATTCCTAGACTAAGAACTACAGACAATTAATGACTGTTAAGAGAGGGAAAATTAGCCTCTTCCAGGAATGAGTTTCCTTATTGCTTTTCCAAAAGAAAGCATCTTCAACAAATGGTGCTGGCATAACTGGATGTCAACATGTAGATCCATATCTATCACTCTGCACAAAACTCAAGTCCAAGTGGATCAAAGACCTCAACATAAATCCAGTTACACTGAACCTGATAGAAGAGAAAGTAGGAAATAGCCTTGAATCTATTGGCACAGGAGACAATTTCCTGAATAGAACACCAGTAGCACAGACACTGAGATTGATAATAAGTGGGACCTCCTGAAACTGAAAAGCTTCTGTAAGGCAAAGGACACTATCAATAGGACAAAACAGCAGCCTACAGAATGGGAAAAGACCTTCACCCACCCTATATCTAATGGAGAGTTGATTTCCAAAATATATTGGCTCAGCCTGTGAGGAGGGGACTGAACCTGCCTGGACTGAGTCTACCAGGTTGATCTCAGTCCTCGGGGGAGGCTTTGCCCTGGAGAAGGTGGGAATGGGGGGTGGGCTTCGGGGAAGGGGAGAGGGGCGGGAAGGGGGAGAACAAGGGAATCCGTGGCTGATATGTAGAACTGAATTGTATTGTAAAATAAAATAAAAACAAAACAAAACAAAACAACAACAAAAAACAAATAACCCAATTTCAAAATGGGGTTCAGATCTAAACAGAGAATTCTCAATGCAAGAATCTCAAATGGCTGAAATGCATTTAAAGAAATGTTCAACATTCTTAGCCATCAGGGAAATGCACATCAAATGATTCTGAGATACCATCTTATGCCTGTCAGAATGGCTAAGATCAAAAACAATGATGGCAGGTAGCTTATGTTGGAGAGGATGTGTAGCAAGGGGAACACTCCTCCACTGTTGGTGGGAGTGCAAACTTGTACAGCCACTTTGGAAATCAGTATGTTGGTTTCTAGGAAAAATGGGAATCAATCTACCTCAAGACCCAGTTATAACACTCTTGAGCATATACCCCAAGGATGCTCAGTCATACCACAAGGATACTTGCTCAACAATGTTCATAGCAGTATTATTCATAATAGCCAGAACCTAGAAACAACCTAGATGCCCCTCAATTAAATAATGGATAAGAAAAATATAGTACATTTACACAATGGCGTATTACTCAGCTGTAAAAAACAATGACCTCATGAAATTTGCAAGCAAATGGATGGAACTAGAAAAATAATTCTAGGTAACCTAGACCCAGAAAGACAAACATGGTATGTACTCACTCATAAGTGGATATTAGGAGTAAATTACAGGATAAACAGCCTACAATCCATAGTCCCAGAGAGTTTGTTGAACAAAGAGAGCCCAAAGAGGGATGCATGGATTTCCCTGAGAAGGGGAAATAGAAGAGATCTCCTGGGAAAACTGGGACCAGGGGTTGGGTAAAAGGATGATGGAAACTTGAGGGAACAGATTGAGTGGACTGGGTGTAGGAGATGGTTTGGGGTGGATGGAGAGCTAGGAAGAAACTTAGTGCCAGGGAAACTCCCAGGAATCCACGAGGAACCCAGCTAAGACCTCTGGCAATGGAGAGGGTGCCTGAACTGGCCATCTTCTGTAATCAGATTGGTGACTACCCTAATTGTCATCATGGAGACTTTATCTAGTAACTGATTGAAGCAGATGCAGAGATTCACAGTCAAGCACTGGGCCGGGCTCTGGGAGTCCTGCTGAAGAAAGGGAGGTGGGATTGTATGAGCCAGGGGGGCCACCACATAGAACCCACAGAGACAGCTGACCTGAGCCCATGGGATTACATGGACTCTGGACCAACAGTTAGGAGGCCTGCATAGGATCAACCCAGGCTCTCCGCATGTGTGTGACAGTTGTGTAGCTTGGTCTGTTTGTAAGGTTCCTAGCAGTGAGATCAGGACCTGTTCCTGGTGCATAACTAGCTTTTGGGAACTTGTTCCTCATGCTGGATTGCCTTGATACAGGGGGAGGAGCTCAGTCCTACCTCAACTTGATGTGCCTTGCTATGTTCAAGCCCATGGGAGGCCTGCCCCTTCCTGAATGGAGACAGAGGAGGAGTGGATGGATGTGGAGGGGAGGGAACAGGAGAAGAGGAGGTGGGGAGAACTGTGGTCAGTATGTAAAGTAAAGGAAAAAATGTTAATAAAAATGAATAAAAACAATTTTAAAGAAAAGAAGGAAGG